CGTGGCGTTTAAAACACGGCCCGTGGCGTTTAAAACACGGCTCGTGGCGTGTAACACGGCCCGTGGCGTGTAACACGGCCCGTGGCGTTCAGGAGCGAAGGAGGGATGAGGAGATCCTGCGTTCTGCTCTCTGGTTCTGACCCGTTCTTGTGTTTCAGGTGAACCCAGACAAGCTGCAGAGCGTGCAGCAGAAGCTGGAGGCCTTCCTGGCCCAGGAGGCGGAGCTTAAGGAGCGGGCCCAGCGCTGTTTCGTCTCCTACCTGCGCTCCGTCTACCTGATGACCAACAAAGACGTCTTTGACGTCTTCAAGCTGAAGCTCCAGGACTACGCTCTGTCCCTGGGACTGGCCGTGGCCCCCAGGGTCCGGTTCCTCAGCAAAGCCCGGGAGCAGAGGGCCCAAGAACGTCTGCAGAACCTTCAGGCCCGGCCGGACGGCGAGGAGGAGGACGAATCCCCAGGAGACCGCAGCGAGGATGACGAGGATCTGAGGGACCTGGATCTGCTGACTGTCAAGAGGAGGGATGTGTTCAGTGAGACAGGGGCCCCTGAGGAGGCAGGGCCCCCCACCCAGGGGCCCAAGCAGCCCGCGGCCAAAGAGAGCCGGTACCGGGAGGCCAAGAAGCTCCTGAAGAGAAACTTCCAGATCAACACCAAGGTGACCTTCAACGAGGAAGGAGAGGCGGTGCAGCTGTGGCCCCCGGCGCCACAGGCGGCGGGACAGGAGGAGGAGCAGGAGGAGGAGGAGGAGCAGGAGGGCATCAACGTGGAGAAGGCCAAGGAGAGGCTGAGACGGGAGGACCAGCAGTTCGACAAGCTGGAATACCGACGCAAGGTCCAGGCCAAACACCGAGAGAGGAGGATGAAGGCCAAGGAGGCGCGCAGGGAGGCCAGCAGGAGGAGGAGGTCCGACCAGGAGCAGGAGGCCGGAGCTCAGCTGGCCAGTCACAGCGAGGACGAGTTCGACTTCAGCGCCCTGCCTGACCCCGACCCTTCATCAGAAGAGGAGGAGGAGGAGGAGGCGCAGAGGAAGAGGAGGAAGACTGAGCAGCAGGAGGAAGAGCAGACAGGCCTGGATACCGGCCTGACCCTGGCTGAGGATGAGGAGCTGGTCCTTCATCTGCTGGCGGGACGCCACTAGGGACAGGAGGGGGAGGGGAGGTCCACAGGGGAGGGGAGGAGGGGAGGGGAGGTCCACGGGGGGGAGGGGAGGTCCAGCACCTCCTCCATGTTCTGATGTGTGGGTCAGAATCGGAGCTCCTCCCCTCTGGATCATTTTCCTCCTGATTCTGTTCATTGAAATCTATAAACTGATCCAGCTCTGTAAACTGAGCATCTAGAATCTTTACTTCTAGGAGGGACTGATCCTGCTATAGTTAGAGAGAAATGAATAATCCACAAATTAAAATGGAATTTAAATAAATGCAACAAAATGATAAAAAGCTGAGATTTTTTTCAAAATGGTTGAATTACTTTAATATAAATATATATATTTAGCTAACTCTGTATTTTACTGAAATAATGTATTTTTTTTCTAAACATTTTTTATTGAAACTTTTAACTCCAGTTTAGGCGTTTGGTCCATGACCCAGTGTTCTGTCAGGCCAGCATAGTCCAACCAGTTTATCACTTTAGTTTTATACAAAAATAAACTTTAAAGGACTTTATCCTTAAAGTCATGTACAGAAAACTGATTAATCACTTACTTTTTGGTGTTTTTTTTTTAAGCGTATGGTAATTTAACCTTAAATAGTTTTTTTTTGTTTTGTACACCACTAAAGAGATACACGTCCGTTAATGTAGTTTAAAGTCTGTTTTTCATTCAGAATTAAAGGGATAAATGCGAATGTGACGTCCTGCGCTGCGTATCTACTATAGATATGCTGAACAGGATTTATGCCAAACAAACGGATATATTTGCTGCTCTAATAAACGCCTGTAACAGATTCTCTCTGAGCCGTTTGGGTCCTTTCTGGATTTTGGGATCTTTTCTGTCTCCAGGATACAGATGGTAATAAAATATCTCATTTAAAATAAATACAGCAGTTATGATTAAAACAACTTTTTGATACTCTGGAGGTTTTTGGTTCCTAGAAACACTAAACTGCCTCCAAATATCCAGTATATTTGTATAACCTTTAACCTTTATTTTTTCCCATGTCCCCAAAACACAATTTCTACTCATTGAGAAATATTAGAAATAAAAAAAAAATGTTTGTATTTATTTAAGAATACAGGTAAACTGAAAAAAAAAAGATTTATGAGGCGTCATCGTCCTGTTGCTCCATTTTTGATGCCGTTTTCCACCTTTAAAGCGTAATGCCTACAATTCCCATGATGCTGCTTTCAGGAAGCGCTCTTTAGGCAGGAGGTAGGTCCAATCCCAAACCGGGGGCTTTAGTGATGGAATGAGGCGGTATAATGGCCGCCACATGGAAGTTTTTAAAGTTTAAACATAGAACACAGAGATAGAACCCTTAAAAAGTCTGTACTCTGCCAGAACCTCTACAGGAGGTCTGTCTGCAGCAGATCACTTTTTGATCACTCTCCCTTACAAATGAAAAAATGTCAGTGGCAGTATCAGCATTAATGCCTGTAAGGTTATGTTGGACCAAAAGTGTTTTTCATAAACTTCTTCTAGAATTACTTTTGTTATTTTTCTTAATATATTTGAAAAAGTTGGCGTTTCTTGTTATTACATTGATTTTTGCCATCAAACTATCCATATTTTTTGAATGTTACAAAGATAATAAGGTCTTGTCCTGGATTCCAATAACTCTATTGGTTTGAAATTTAGATTTTCAAAGTATTTCACTGAGCGCCCTGTAAAGCGTTAAAACTAGTTTTTTTTAATCCAGGAGGACAATTAAATGCAATCCAAAGATATCTCATACAGGAAGACTCGGGGGGGAGCTAGGAAGATTATAAGGGGCCCTTGACTGAGGGGGGGCCCCAAAAGAAGAAGAAGAAAATTTGTCCTGCTATGTTTTTCAAATATAAAAGGAAAATCTAGCAATAAAATCCATTATTTTTTGTGTTCTCCCTCATTTTAAGCAGTAAACAGCAAAACAAAGCATGAATATATTGACTAAAACCTGCATCTCATCAGGTCTCCCCATCTGTCACAGGCTGTTTGCTCCAACCGGCGCTCAAATGCCTCATTTTATAAAGTGATGATGAAACAAATCAATGCATCTTTATAGCGCTTTAAAACCTTACATGCATTTCTGTTTGGGTGGGGCCAGTGGCGGTTCTAGACCAAATGTTCCAGGGGGGCAGGGTGGGGGCACCGCGTTTTTATGGGGGCACAGAAAAGCATGAAGTAAAAAACCAGAGAAAGAGATTCAAATATATCAACAGAGCTGCATGAAGTGAAATTTCCATTCAATTAGGTTTAATTAAAAATCTAACTTCCAACTGAAAATATTTATTTTTGGCTTAAAAAAGTTCATTCGGATTATCGTTAAAATAAAAATAAAAACCCCTTAGCATAGCAAAAAAGCAACTCAAAACAATATCTAAATATCTAATAAAGCTGTTATTTGGAATATTAGGTCAATATACATTCAGAATTTAGGAATTTAACATATTTTAACTTTATTCAAGTTAAAATCAGTTTTCTATAAAACAGAATTAGAACATTTAAGAAAAACTGATGAATTCAGCTGTGAAAAAATTAGAGTATTTTTTTTTTGTTTTGGAAAAAAAAATTAGCAGATGTAAACTGGGATCCTATCAATCCCACTGAAGCTATCACCTTATTGTTTTTAAGTAATTAGTAAAACAGAATAGTTTAAAGAAATAAATGAAATAGATTCAAAGGATCTATCAGTAACCGTGTCAGTAACCAGATCATCAGTGGAATTTCTTTGAGTTTTATCAACGTCCTGGGGAATTCCTGACCGCATCCCTGGCTGGAAGAGAGAGATGGAGGGATACTGGTGGAACAGGCAGGAAATGGAGTTTAAAAGAGTTAAGAAGAGGACAGAGGGGTGTTAGGCAAGTAAATAAAGTCCTGTTTTTATATTTTACATCATACTTGAATTGGTACAGAAGAGGTTTAGGGCCACTGAAAAAATAGAAAACAATTTAACTGATTTTTAACATTTATTTCATCTTAATATGGGAAGAAAGTCAATCAAAGTTAATCTCAGAATTCTAAATGAATTCTGACAGCTAACAGGCATGTCTGCTCTTCCATTAATGAAATAGCATCACTGGGAAAAAAGTCTGAATTCTGATAAAAAAAAAGTGAGATTAAAGTTAAAATTCTGAACGTAAAGTCGGAATTCAGAGTTTTTCCCATATTAAATTGAAATAATATTTAAAAATCTGTTAATTTTTATTTATTTTTCCAGTGGCCCTAATCTTCTTCTGTAGCGGAACGTTAGCAGTACACAGTGTTGTACAGCAGGTGGCGGTATGGAGCCGTTAGCTGTTTGCAATCCGCCAATAAAGAAAAGAAGAAGAAAAAAACTCCTCATCGGGTGTTACTTTCGGCTCTTTTCCAGCCTCACAGGTTCGTGTTTCATGTCAGAAATGTTCTGGTTCTGGTTCTTTGATCTTAGAGGCTTTGATGGATCATTGTCTGACCATCTGAGCGCGCGCCTGGCAGTGAGCGCGAGAGCTGCTGCTGCCACGTGCCTCTTGGATAATTCAGACAGTCCGGTTAGAAGTGAACAAACTGTAGCTTTAGCGGTCAGCCGCTCCTTCTAATGTGTGTTTTTTGTGGCAGCATGGCTACCGTGGAGCAGGTGGCGGCAGTGGGAGCAGTTCTAGTTAACGCAGATCTGGATCTGACTCAACGCTTCAGAGCTTTGTTCACTCTCAGGAACCTTGGAGGTAAACTTTATTCACTATTGTCTAGTTTGTCCTTAAAGGTGAGGCATTTAAATCCGGCAGTGCTTTTATAATCCCGTCTCCATGGTGATAAAACATGGCGGAAGGATGAGCAGAAAGTTTCTATCATGCTAATCCAAACATGGGAATGAATCGCTGGATTTCAGGTTGAAAACATCAAATAAGCAGCATCTGAAACTCGGATAAATGCAGCGATAAATAGAAGAAACCAGAGACACCAGATTAATCAGCAGATTAATTCAGTTTAATAACATATTTACATCATGTGATTATATAAGATCATCCAGTCAGATTGATTCAAAGTTTTCTATCTAAGGAAAACCAGCTGATTGCATCGACTCATTGACTCTTCAGCAATCCCTCACACTAAG